GTTGAGGGCTGCATGCGGAGTGGGAGGGGAACTTGCCCGCCTGGTTCTCATCAGCAACAGCCCGGGCGGTGCGGGGGACAGCAGCAAAAGTCCTGCAACGCCGCAGCAACCCAACCTCATGTGATAGGCCTGCATATGGCCCCGTCACGTGGCGGCTGCAGAAGCGCAGGTAGCTGCAGCAGCAGCTACAGCGGCAGCTGCGGGTGGATTGATCAAGGGCTGCTACAAGTTCAGATGTCCTCTGTTCCCTCTTTCCTGCGATCTGGTGCTGTTCTGAGGCCTTCAAACAACGCGGCGGATTTGGCGACTCTGAGGAGCTCCTGGGCCCGACTTTTACTGGCCGCGAGAGGGGGAAAGGATACCCCCAGGACCTTGGCGCTGTCACCTCAGACGGACAGCAGCGTTCTGGGCAGCATCAGCAGCAACAGTAGCAGCAGGAACACTGCAAGCAGCAACACCGTGACCAGCAACAGCTTGAGCGACACCAGCAGAGAAGCTTCTCAAGACACGAGACTCTTTCAGACAGGAGGTGAGCGCTTGTGTGCTGAGGCCGAGACGTATTCAACTGAAACCGATGTTGCTGACGAGGAGCAACAGCAGCAGCAGGGCGCAGCGGCGGCAGTCGAAGCCGCCACAGTTGGTGTTTCGCCGTTGAGTCAGACATGTGTACAGAACCGAGAGGTACTGCGGAGCGGAGGTCCGCTGCTGGTGTTCCAGTCTGGTGCGTTGGCTGGAGTTCCTTCATCTCCTGAGTCCGGCACCGGCGGATCCCCTGGGTCACTCCTGAGCGCTGGATTGACTGTCGCATGCCTGTCTCCGAGGCAAGACAGGCGGCCGTCAGGTGATGCTGCTGTTGCTGTGGAGAACCTAGACGCATGTGTGAGGCTGTCTCCGGCTCCATGGGCTGCTGAAGAGGGTCTGGAGTTTTTCTCAACAGAGACTTTACCCGCACCGCTCTTGCCTACTTTGCCGGTCCTGCCGGGGAGCAGTAGTAGCAACTCCGGCAAATCCCCACTCAGCCCCACCAGCCTGCTCTTCTCCTCAAGCGACCCGAGACGCTACATTGGACCACTAGTGAAGAGCGCCGTCATCTCCATTGAGAGCTTACCCGCTTCGATGGTACTGCCTGCTCTGAGCAAGTCCTCCAGCGGCCTCGACGTAGAATTTCCCCTGGGGATCACGCAGCAGCACAAGGCAGCTGCGCTGCTACAATTGCATCTGCTTCCGGTGGGGATGAGAAATATGGCGTCTGATAGCTCTCTCAAGCTGAGGCAGCAACAAAGCCGGCAGCCGATGTCCTGCCCCGAGTTGCAGGTCGTGCAGACGGCGTCTTCAGCGAAGAAGCTGCTAAGCGGGATAGTGAGTAGGACATCGTGGAGGACGAAGGAGACGGTGAGCCTCTTGACCCAGCGGAAAAGGTCAGGTGCCCTCTACGCACTTTGCCGTTGCCAGCCACCTTCCCGTCCCTGTAGCCGTTCATCCTTGACTCACGGCCTTTCCAAGCAGGGAGCACCTCTTTTCACGGAAGAGCCTCTGCAATGCGCTGCGCCACCAGTAGAGGGCTGCAACTCGCAGCAGGCAACTCCCGTTGTAGGACAATGTAGGCAGAACATGCACACGCTGACGGAAAAGCACGGAAGTATCGCAGCTTGTGCAATTGGGACGGAACAGGAGGGTTGTGTGGGGCCGGGTTTACGCAAGCTCCGGCAAGAGGTGCCACTGGGCAGTTGCCTCCCAGAGACAGTGCTTGACATCAGGAGGCTGCTGCGCTCTTCTTTTCAGGAGCCAACTATGTTAGTAGCATCGGCGCCGATGGGAGGTGCGGCAGAAATGCAGAAGTATGGAAACGCACATATCAGAGAGCGATTAGGCAGATATTGGGGCCTGGCAGAGTCTCTTGTAGGATTTAATTCACCAGGATTGGACTGGAGAACGAGAAATGTGTACGGGACAGCAGAATGCCTCGTTTCTCAGCCACTGAAGCTCAGAGTTGAACGTGGGATTTCGGGGACAGGGGAGAACCTTTGTGAGCTCTTGCCACCACTAGCGACTTCGCAAATGGATTTGCCGTTTGGAAGCTTATTCAGGGTAGCTGGGAGCCCCTTGAGGCCCGCGGAAGAGGGTGGGAATGACCTCACGGACACGGAGCAACCCAGTGTAAACGCCTTTGCGTTTGTTGAGATCGACCCCGGTGACTCCCTAGATGTTCTGCGGTCTCATGCTGAGGCGCAGGAGTCCTTGGCAGCACAGCGCCAGCTGAATTTAGCTGATGTGATCGCCGCCAGTGCAATTCTGAGTGGGTCCGGCGTCGCTGCCTCTGGGCTTCAAGTTTACGCCAAAAGCACCAAGCGCGCGTGCAGCAGCACGATGCAACGAGCGCTAAAGTCCACGAGGGAAATGGCCGCGCTTCAGGCGACCGATGAGGGGATAGTACTACTGCGTCGTTTTCAAGAGGAATTGACGCGCCTTTCTACTGAGCTGGAGTCTGCGAAATTACCTCCTGAGCAGTGCTCAAGGCCCACAAGTTCCAGGTCTTCCTCCCCTAGCGAGCTCAGTATGCGTCTGGTGGCAAAAATTGAGAAGCTCTTGGCAGTGTCAAGGTCACCCCTCCCCGTAGTACACAGCAACACAAATATAATATTGCGCTCTGTGCCAGAATTACTGTTGCTAAGTAACTCGAGCTGCACGAGTTGGTACGGGACGTCCTTGCGTTGCATGGCTGGGACCATTCGAGGTGCTCGCCGCCTAACTGCGCGCAAAATCTCTGGCTGCATCTCCGCGCCGTTTGGAGGGGAAAGTTGCGTTAGCTTGAATGTCGGCCGCTGTTGTGCTATGGCTGCTCGATTCGAGCGAACACAGGTGAGCAATGGTCCTTATTCCACAGACGCACTATAACAGTATCGTTGTGCGTGGTAGAAGGTGAGGCTAAGAACAAC